TAGTAGGGCGGCGGCCTTCGGCGAAGCACGTGATTTTGAGGAAAACTCCCCTTTTCAATTGGCTTGAAAAGAAAGGAGAAGAGGGAGTCCACAATTGTTTGGGTCCGTTTCCATATTTTGATGTCTCTCTAGCACTTCTCGACCCAATCCCCTAGTTTGTCAAGGGTTTGAACGGCCGTTCACCTCTCTGGACAAAGTGGTAAATATATCCATGCCCTTGCGGGTTCCATGGAGAGAAATCAAGCTTTGGGGGCTATTCAGCAGCCATGCGAAAAGAATCCTAGACCTCTAGCAGCCGAGGAAAATGAAGGACACCTTTTTGTTGGTTGGCTGAGTCTAAAGGGAAATGCCCACCTTAACAGAAGGAACACAGGCACCACTGGAGGTCTGTTGGAATCGACAAAATAGAGATTTGCAGAGAGTTACCATTCACGCTCATCCATTCCCACCTTGCGGGTGTGAAAAACGGGTCCGGAGACTCACAGGAAGTGGACGAAGCAGGGCGACAAGGGATCAATCAAAAGTAGGCTTGTGAACGCAAGCAGGGTACAATCAGCCAAAACCCTATTCATGTCTGCCCGGCTATGCCAGTCCCTATCCAATGGTCTCCTGCTTAGTATGGAGTCCTGTGACTTTGGCCGTTCAGTCAGCTGACTGGACAAGGCCGCAACTACCGTTTGGCGCAAGGGGCCGCCGGGAGTCCTCACAAAGCTGGGGGCATAGGAACACATGACCCCAGGCAACTGCCATGGAGTCCCCAGGCGGCTTTTTCGGGATGGTCCTTCGCAAGGGTTCAACTGGAACAATGGAAAGGTGCCACTCCACCACTGGCATGGCTCGGCTCGTCAGCATTGAACTCCTCTTCAATACTCAATACTTAGAGGCCCATCAAACTTCTCATGAAACAAAACTGAACAGAACAGGAGGTTCCCATGTATGGATTCGCGAATTCCTGCTTGCAGTGAGGCCCAACCGCGTGGAATTCTAAGGATCCAGCCCCATTGGTGCAGGCTGCTGATACCACCTGAGCGTTCTACTGGCTGCCGCTTCCGCACACACCCCATGTTTGGCTTCCAGGCCTTGCCAGGCCACTTAGCAGCCTTCAAGTGTAGCATCCGACGTTTGTGAAGTTCCACAAAACACACAACTGTTCAGCACATGCATCGTAAGCAATGTACTCTTGAGTGGCACGAGTTGGCAAATCGCAACTTCTTCGAACATGCGCAGTACTACTGAGCGGCTCCGGCTTGCACATTGCAACTGTTCAGTGCGTGCTTCTGCGTGATTTGTCCTGAGCGGCTGTGGCTGTCGAATCACAACCTGCCAGTACAAGGGTAGGGTCCCAAGTATTCTTCGGAAGCTCGACAAATCGCTGCTTGTCTGTACCCTCGCGGAGTTTTGGAGCGGGCCCAGCTCGAGTACACGAACTGTTCAACGACATCCAGCCAACTCGCGACTCGGCAACTCAGTGACGCTCACTCGCTCGCTCGCTCCAAGCCCCGGAAGCCCGGCTGGACCGTGCGGGCTCTGGGATCCCAGTCACATGCTGTTCCCAGACAAATCCCAAGGGAAGGTACCAAAAAGCCCTGTCTGGCATGCCCAGGTTGACTTCGTGTGCTGCGTTCACTGTGAATTTAGGCATGTGAAGAAGGGTGTGCTCATCATGGGCCTGCTTCTTTCAGCAGACTTTCGGCAGGGGAAACAGAATAGCCCTTTGAGTTGTCATAAGAGTAGCAAGGAAACTAACACGGACATGTTGCGAGTCCCTTTGGACAGGAGACCTCCCTCCGATTTACTTTCAGCTTTTGCGCAATGAGAACCATGGCTGTGGAAAATAAGCCCTTCTGTGGTACCAAAGTAAGGCTCCCATCTCTATGACTAGTTCATCAGGCTGTTACCACTTTCAAGAGGATTCCCTTGCACAGAGTACGTGGGCCATCGTTATGGCCGCCTAATCTCCCATCATACCTTTTGCAGATCGACATAGCTGGTGGATTCCCCTCACGCAAATCAAGACCCGCAAAGGCCTGATGGCCTTCTGCAATCTTTTGCAGAACTTCCCGGCACTCAGGAAAGAGTCCAAATCAACTTTTCATAATACAGCAGCCACACACACACAGCTCTGGAGGATTCATGAGTCACTCAGGACCCATATGGGTATCCTGAGGGAAGGAACCCACATGGAAAACCCCACATGGCTTGTTCCAGACCATGTTTGGGCGCTGAAAGAGACAGGGGGACACCAACTGGAACCTCCCAGACCAACCTACGGGTGGGTTGGTCTCCCGGCGGGTCGTGGTGCGCCACAGCGGCCGCCGCCGCCGCGGCCGCGGCCGCGGCCGGGTCGTACGGCCTGAGGACCAAAAGGCCAGGAGCAGTTCGACCCAGGTGCAGGTGACGTATCCAAAAAGGGAGTCACATACGGACGCCAGTGAAATGGAAAGCATCCTGGGTGAAACATCCTGTGGTCTGCAAAACAATATGGAGACTTGGGAACTATAAACAAGCCCTCTAAAGCCAGAAGGACAAACTCTTGGCCCACGTCTGGGCTAGAGAATAATTCTTGTAGACCTTGTTCCATTGGTTTACCCCAAGATATAACATAGGTTTGGAGGAGACCAATTGGCACCCCCCCAAAAAACAAATAAATATGTCCGGTTCCATATGCTAGCTGATAAAACAAGGGATGCAAACATTGTCTTGTTGCATAATTTTGGCAACAAATGTCATACCAAACGTTGAGCCAGCCCAAAGGCCCCCAAAGCCAACCCCCAGGAAGCAGTTCTCATCGAATCCTTGAAAACCATTCTGGGGGATAGGGGGCGCTGCGTCTTCTTGGCCTGTGTTTGGTAAAACATTGCCTTGCTTCTTGAGGATTGGCAAGAACAACCACGTGCATCACTTTAGTGATCTCCCCAAAAGGCAAGCCACGGCCATGAAATTGCGAGCAATCGCAATGGCTGTCCAATCAATCCCCCCGGAAATGGCACAAACAACGGCACAAAATGATTCGTCCGCGTGTCTTTTTTGGAGGCGTCGGGACCCAAACCTCGGCTCTCACCAAGATTTGAGTGATGCCCTTGGCGGCTGACTTGTTTGAGGATACACTTCTTGGGTTTAAAGCTTAAAGGAAAACCAAGAAAACAACGACCACTTTCAAGGTTCCATATTTGGAGCATGAGCAACGAGCAAGATTCGCATGTTCTGCAGAACAACATGGCACCATTGGGGGCCATTCCCCCCTATCGATCATGTTGCCAGCGACCTATTGGCCCAAGAAATGCAACCCCTGCCCAAACCCAGAAACCAAAAGTAGACAAAAAGGACCAAAAACGACGAGACATGCACGCACACGCATTCGCCCACCATGGGAACGGCATGATCGTGTGCAACATCTGTTTGGGAATGTTAAAACAACATCTGCCTCACTCGGTGTCAGTTAGTAGGCTATAATACCTCAGCTATTGCCCAACTCAAACAACATGTCCACATGCTGTTTACCTCAACATGTGCGCATGCTGGTAGGACATCTGCAAAACTATAAATAAGCAACTAAGTCCATATGCTGTTTACCTCAAAATATACATATGCTGGTAGGACATCCGCAAAACTATAAAATAGCACCTAGACTCATATCAAATACATGCTGCATAGCTGGTAGGACATCTGCAAAACCATGGGCTTTGCAAATGAACTCATATCAACCATGCAAATAAGCGCATGTCAACTAGCATCCCCCGTTTCGGGAGCCGTTTCAGAAAGCCGTGGGCTTGCTGGGAGACCCCTGCGCCGCCGCCGCTGCCGCGGCGGCCGCGGCGGCCGCGCTGCAGGCGCCGTAGCCTCGCCGGATCTCGCGAACGCGGAACCCCAATGGCGGTGGGCAAAGATAGGGTGACCCCAAAACGGGTTGCTGGTAAATGGAAACATGGACTAACACCTGCGGTTGTTGGGTGGTTTAATATTGACCCATTCCCAGATGGTGTTCAATTGCTGGTAATGCCGGTGTTCATCTTTATACCCAGTTGAAACTTGTGGTGTCAATAACAAACACACACGCACAAACAAACACAAACACAAACAAGCAAGCAAGCAAACAAGCAAACAAGCAAGCAAGCAAGCAAGCAAGCAAACAAACAAACACACACACACACACCATTATAGGGAGGAAACACCTACTTGATCATTGTTGAAGTGGATGGACAGCATCCACGTCGCACCAGATGGAAAGGACAGGTGCCCACCATTTGGGGAACGGCAAGGAAGCTTTCAAAAAAAAACAAAAACGGCCACACAAAAGGGCAACCATGGTTTCAAGCTGGAAGCAGCGATCTCCAGTGCGGACACGTACTTTTCAGAGACGCTGCTTAAAAGGGGTCCTTTGTTGAGGTTTGTCTAATCACAAGTGCACACGTGGTGACGAACCTCCCAATCTGTGTTCAGGTGGTCTATATGTATACGTACATAGACAGATACATACATGTATATAAATATATATATATATGTATTTGTATGCATCAATTGTGCAATCAGACTATAACCTGCACACCTCCAAACACAACCCGCTTGAAGACTTGACACTCTGAAATCAGGTGCTCTGACGTGAGCGAGACCGTCCTCTCGACGAGTTGCAAGCCACCCTCCCATCATCGGCATGGAACGGGTACTGAAGACTGAAGACCAGTTTTTCCCCCAAAAAATACCTTTGGTGAGTTGAACGGCAACGTGGACAGGAAGGTCGTGTCAGCAGCTCTGAGAAGACTAAAACATGTTCCTCGTGATCTGCCCCAATACCTGAAAGCTGAGGAATGGAGTGCTCATTCGATAGGATTCAGGGACATCACTTCAGTAAAAGTCTGATTGGGGCCCTCGCCGCAGCTGCGGGCTGTATGTGGAGAAACACCGCATTGCAGAAACATATAGCTAATCATCTTGTCGATCATCTGCATGCCACTTTGCACATACCCTGTCGTCAAATCAGTTCAAACGAGATCCCAGCAAAGCTACTGGCAAAACTGAGGGCAGGAGCTTATGCCAGCATAGTAGGCGTCCAGCTGTGCAGGAGACATGGCCTCAGTCATTTCATGCGATGAGAAAAATTAGCCACCCATATCGAACTACACTCCCTCAGACTAACATGGAGGCTCCCAGAAGGCTTCTGTAAATGAAACCAAGTCTTCCAAGCAGGTCCCGGGAGCATCCATGTTAGTCTGGGGAAGCTGCCTGCCGGCCAAATGAAGCCAACGCACCCGTGAGGCAGCCAGCTTGGTCAAAGCACCTCATTGTGCATTCTGGATCAGTTTTGCGCAAAGCATGTGGAGCAACCAGTGCACTCACCGGAAATGACCTAGCATTCCAGAAAGGTTCAAAAGAGAATCGCCATCCGAACCCTCACATCCATCAAGGTTGGTCGATAATTGAATTCGATAATTGAATCAACTGGGATCTATTTCGTTTCACTGCTGATCTCAAGATGTTCCTCTAGAATGTGTTCCCAGTGGTGTGTCTGGAGTCCCAACCAAGTTCAAAAAAAGCAACTGGCAAAGGAATCTTTCTCACAGTGGCCGTTGACAATTCAACCCCGCATATGGGTTTGTCTCAAAATGGGGGAACCCCTAAAGTGGTTGGTTCTCTAAAACCAGCCAACGGGGTTCCCCAAGAAAAGACATCCGCATGGCGTTCGTGAGATGACTCCGACGCGGATATCAAGGTCTGCAATATCGGCGGTTCGCCAGTTGTCCCACCGTCCCACCGTTGGCGGGCATCTCACGCCCACTAACTTATAACCTGTATAATATTTGGTTAACTTCGGAGTGATCAGAAGGGCCGTACTAATACAAGGAATCCCAATAAAATGAACCGATTCTCCACTGAAGGCCGAGCCGCCCCTAATTAGCATAATATGGTCTTCCAGATTAAGCCGACGTTGACGTGAGTTAATACGCATAAGCAGCTCTCCACATGAACCGAAAGGAAGAAATCTTGGCCCACATCTGGGGTACACAGAAATAATATGTTCGGATTCTGCTTCATTTTTGATCTACCCCAACCTGTAGTTTTGCAGGAGACCCCAGGTAAAACCTGGCTGCCCTTGAAAAAAACACCCCCCCAAAAAAAAGGGATCCCTCAAGCACCACACCTAACACCAAAACCAAGTACTTCCTTCCATTTGGTTAAGACCCCCGGAAAAAAAAATGAAAAAATATTTCCAGTAGGGATAGACTCCCTTTAAAACCCACAGGGGAAAATCAAAAAGGAAAAATATTAAGCAAAAATGGAAGCTTCCGTTCTCCTCAGGTCTCCGGTAAAGACGCCACCGACCTCTGGCCCCCGGCCGGCAGCTGCTCCGGGAAGTGCGGCGGCTCGTCCGGGAGCCTTGGAGCCGGTCATGGGGGTGGTGTCCTGTTACGGCTTCCCGTTAAAGGCTGACCCAAGAGGACCCTCAAAACCAACACGCAGGTTTTTACCTCATGCCCAGGGCACCCCAATAGGCCTAAGAGCCCACAGCTAGTCCTTGTTGGGATCGGGGAGGGACCCTTTTCGGAGGGCCCTTGACGTAGCAAAGGCGGAAGCGGCGTGCTCAAAAAGGGTCTGGGTGAACGTGGGAACTGCGCTTGATACCCACTTGCTTGTCATGGTAACCTTCTCGCCTTGCTTGTGGTCCTGCTGGGCGACAAGTTTAGGTCAAGAGGATAGATGCAACAGGTTTGGGTCACAGCTTCAGTGGCCGAAAGCTTTGACCCTTGGTCCGTCAGCTGGGGCTTCGGCCGGTGCCCGGGGTGCCCGGGGTGCCCGGGGTGCCCGGGGTGCCCGTGCCCGGGGGGGAGCAAGGGCGGCTGCGTGGGCGGGCCCATCGCCTCCAAAGCGAGCCCCCCGCATCCAACGTGAGACCTGTTGGAAGCCATAGCCAGAGGATCCCTGAACTCGTCTCCAGCCAGTTTTCGGCTCCAACCCAAAAACATGGGGTGAAACGAGGACAAAACAGACCAACAACCACTCTTCGCACCCATATAGAACCAGAAGGTCCGCCTCGAAAAAGAAAAAAAACAAAAAACAAAAACACATGCCGTACGTCTCGTTTCTCCTGGCATCCAAGACCTATATGGCACCTCCCTGTACGGTCAAAGTCCCCAGGTTGTTGCTTTTTAATCCGAGTTTTTAGGCCCTTGGACTGTTGGAGATGTCAACCTATGCTAGCGTCGGCTTCCCCGCTTTGGAGGACCCGTGGCGTGAAAGAACCCAACATTGCATCAGCCGCCGGGAGGACTGGAAGGGAAAATGCTTCAGCGGATGGGCCCTAGACGAAAACGAGGACGAAATACGGCACAAAGAATGAAGCTCGGGGTAAGACGACTGATCATTGCTTCAAACCATCGATGTTCAAGCCTGTTGAGCTTCCACATATCTTGCACTCCTCATTGTTGAGCTGTTTGAACCTGCTTTACAGGTCTTCCCGACTCAAAGGCTTGGACCTCAGATCTAACAATGGTGTTTACAGTGGGTGCATTGTACTCCCACAATGTGGGCTGGCAATATTCAGCAATGTGTGTTGGCCCAGCTCACGCAAACGCCCGAACCGAAGCAAATAATACTAGATTAAAGAATTTGGAAGTGCTAAATTATGTGTTGGCCCAACTCAAGTCCATGCCCAAACCCAACTAAATAATGCTAGAGTAAGTATTAGCAAGATTCAGTTGGGGGACTTGCACAACTCAAGCCCTAGGGTTTCATCCATCCCAACTGGTGCGAAGCTGAATTTGTCCTGCATAAAAAGGGGTGCCCGGAAACTCCCATCATATTCAACCAAACTCACACCTCAAAGTTGCAGGAGCTCGACCGGAAAATGGTGCCTCGGTTCAATTCCGGACCCTCAAACAAAGTTTAAATTTAACATGATATAAAATGTACCTTTACCCCAGAAATGGTTTGGAGTAATGCAAAACTCTCAAGCCCACGGCCTTCCAAATGTTTTCTATGGGCTCGTCCCATCCAAAAGCCGCTGCCTGCATGTGGCTTTGGCTGGCCCACGCCTGCAAACGCACCGCGCAAAAGGTCACGATATGCAAACGTATTTTACGCATAGTGCCCACAAAAACAAAGATGCAGGCAATATTAAGTAATGGATTAAGCTATGCATATGTACTGTATGTATGTCTGTCTGTCTCTGTATCTGTCTCTGTCTCGGTCCCTGCGTGTGTCTGTTTCTGTGGGTGTGTCTGTGTCTGTGCCTGTGTCTGTGTGTCTCAGTGTGTGTGTGTGTCTCTGTGTGTCTCTGTGTGTGTCTCTGTGTGTGTCTCTGTGTGTGTGTGTGTGTGTCTCTGTGCGTCTCTGTGTGTGTCTGTGTGTGTGTCTCTGTGTGTTTATCTGTGTCTGTGTCTGTGTGTCTGTGTCTGTGTGTGTGCGTCTGTGTGTGTGTGTCTCTGTGTGTGTCTCTGAGTGTGTGTGTGTGTCTCTGTGCGTCTCTCTGTGTGGGTTTTTTTGTCTGTGCGGTGTGTCTCTGTGTGTGTGTGTGTGTGCGTCTGTGTTGTGCGTGTCTCTGTGTGTGTGTGTGTGTCTGCGTCTGTGTGTGTGTGTGTCTGTGTTGTGCGTGTCTCTGTGTGTGTCTATGTGTTTGTGTGTGTCTCTGTGTGTGTGTGTCTCTCTGTGTGTGTGTCTTTGTGTGTGTGTGTGCCTCTGTGTGGCTCTGTGTGTGTGTGCGTGTCTGTGTGTGTGTGTCTGTGGCTGTGTGTATGTATGTATGTATGTTTGTGTGGATGCAAGTGTGTTTGTATGTATGTAACGTATGTATGCATGCCTATTATGTGTAACTGTATGTATGTGTGTATGTGTGCATGCATGCATGCATGCATGCATGTATGTATGTATGTATGTATATATGTATGTATGTGTATGTATATGTATGTATATGTATGTATATGTATGTATGTATGTATGTATGTATGTATGTATGTATGTATGTATGTATGCATGTATGCATTTATGTATTTATGTATGTATGTATGTATGTATGTATGTATGTATGTATGTATGTATGTATGTATGTATGTATGTATGTATGTATGTGTGTGTGTGTGTGTGTATGTGTGTATGTGTGTATGTGTGTATGTGTGTGTATGTGTATGTGTATGTGTATGTGTATGTGTATGTGTATGTGTATGTGTATGTGTATGTATGTATGTATGTATGTATGTATGCATGCATGCATGCATGTATGTGTGTGTGTGTGTGTGTCTGCATGTATGTATGTATGTAAGTATGTATGTATGTATGTATGCACGTATGAATGCATGTGTGTGTGTGTCTGTATGTATGTATGAATGTATGAATGTATGAATGAATGAATGAATGAATGAATGTACGAATGTATGAATGTATGAATGTATGAATGTATGAATGTGTGTATATGTATGTGTATGTGTATGTGTATGCGTATGTGTATGTGTTTGTGTATGTGTATGTATGCATGCATGCATGTCCGTACGTACGTACGTATGTATGTATGTATGTATGTGCGTATGTATGTAACTGTACGTATGTATGTGTAAGTGTATGTATGCCTGTGTAACTGTATGTATGTATGTGTACCTCTATGTATGTATGTATGTATGTATGTACGTACGTACTTACGTACGTACTTACGTACGTACGTACGTATGTATGTATGTATGTATGTGTGTGTATGCATGTGTGTGTGTATGCATGTATGTGTGTGTGTGTGTGTGTGTGTGTGTGTGTGTGTATGTGTGAATGTATCTGTGCATGCATGCATGCATGCATGCATGCATGCATGCATGCATGCATGCATGTATGTATGTATGTATGTATGTATGTATGTGTGTGTGTGTTGTGTGTGTATGTGTGTATGTGTGTATGTGTGTGTGTGTGTCTGTGTTTCTGCGTGTAGGTAGGCAGGCAGGCAGGCAGGCAGGCAGGTAGGTAGGTAGGCAGGTAAGTAGGTATGTATGCGCGCGGGGGTGCAGCCACCGGTGGTCCAACATGACTGCTCCCTCCAAGCCGCGCTCCAAGCGCCTTCACACCCCAGGTGTTCAGTGGCACCTGTTTTCCCTTGCCGTTTGGCCTGCTCCAACCCCAAAATTTGTGCCCGCAGGGTCACTGGGCAAAGTGCGCTGCCTTGCGAGCACGGGAGGGGCTCCAAATGAGGTGCACAATATACTTATCATTTCACCAACTGTTCATCTGGCCATGAGAATAGCATCCACCAAACTTGTTTGCAGCTCTTAGAAGCGACCAGAAACGAGAAGGAGCCTTTTGATTGGTGTTGATTCCCTTCGACCCCGTTTTGGGTTAGAAAAGACCAACAAGTTGTTTCCATATCTCTTGGTCAACGTTCAGCTTAAAACCAATAACATGTGGCCATGGGTCAAAATCCCGTACCCCCAGTGAACATTCCAATCCCCACTAAAATAGGTTCTAAAATGGGTGGTGAATTCACCTACCCCAAAATGGTACCATGGGTATTGACCAACAGCCATGTCTTGTTTCAAGCATTTTGGTCACGGGAACCGGCGCGATTTCCGCCTCCGGGGTTTGGCTCGCTCCGGCGTAAGGCCTCTCCACGCGCTTCAGCAGCTTCGGCTTCGACCGCTTCGGGTTCGGACGCCGAGGTCGTCCCCCCAAAAAAGGCAGGGGAACAAAACTCGCGGTGGTCAACCCCTGACATTCACCCCAGTTGGCTATGGGTCAAAAATAGGTACCCAAAATGGAACTCTGGTAAATGGAACCAGGGACTAAACGGCCCCCCTGTGATTTGATTTTGACCCACACCCAGTTGCCTTTAGGTGGGGGCACCCCCGGGGGGGCGGGCCGTTCACTTTGGGAGGAAACGTCTGTTCATCCGCCCAGGTTCTGGGATTGGTAGGTTCTGGGCCATGTTGAGTCGACCTGAAAGGATCACTTGATGTCTACTCACTGTGGACGGGCATGCAACATGGTTCCTTCAAATCGTGAACCAGCTCCACGAACTGCGAGGAAGATTAACACTAGGGTGGGAGACCCTTTGGATAGGTTCCCTCTCCCCCATGGAGTCAGGTCTTAAGCTGGTCGAGCCAGCGCCAGTCGGATTCCGTTTTGCCATCTCAGGGAGGGTACGTGGGGCCGCAAGTGGGAAAGCAAGGAAACCAGGCGTCTCGTGATCAAACACCTGGCCAGGAGGATGTAGTTCATTGGGGTTGGGAAAATGGGGTGCTCAAAATGATGGCAGTTTCCCGAGCCCTCCATGTGTCCGCTGGTCTGGTTGGAAGCAGGGTGAAACATTCTCTGGTGCACCCGGCCTGTAAAGCTGGCTCACGTCCCGTTCTTGGTGGGTCACTCCAGAGAAAAGCACGTTTAAACGAGTTGCAGTCCAGGAAGCCTCAAAATAACTTCGGCCTTTTTCCCGATCAATGAACCCCATGTTGAATAATAGCGGGGCGTCCACTCTAATTAGAGGGGGGGGGATTCGCCAGAACGCCCTAAGGACAGGGAGGAGCATGATCAAGGTGTGTCTCAAAATAGGGGGGCCGGTTTCCAGTAAAACAACCCCAAACAGTGCCCCCCCCCAGCAAAAAAACACACCCACACACACACACACATCCACTTGGAGGCTTCAGGGCACAGCAAGGTACGTCTCGATTAGGTTTCTTGGCCATTGATCAGAGTTTCACACATACAGCCAGCCATCAAAGCAACAAGGTGCTGAGGTGCCAGTGCTGGATCCTATTCCGGTCGAGGTTCGTGGCGTGTCTCAGGAACTGTCGCCAGCGGCGATCAGTACCCCGTACCGTTCTAAAGACCGTGGATTCTGCAAGCCCTTGATCAATGAAGGGGTCTTTTATGCCCCATCAAGCAATCAAGCATCACCCCACCGAAAGGAAACTCACTCTAAGTCAGCCCAAAGTGTACATATGCTCCGTGTGTTTAGACTGGTGGCTCCTTTCTAAATTTTGGTAGCTACACTACTGCATGCGCCGATCTGACGCATGACTCTACAAACTTGAAGCCTCATCACTTCTCAGCTGCATCTCAGATAGGAAATCTGTTGAAGCCAGCTTGCGAGATTCGGGTCCATATTGACTGAACCTTCAAAATGCATTTTGGGTGTTTCTGTTTGAGGCTTTTGGGATTGGTGTTCCAGGAAATGAACATGAACTCCACTTCTGAGAAGATACCTAGCCCAAGGCATGAAATGGGGCTTTACCTCCAAAGACCCCAACGAGTAAGATAATGTAAGTTCTTGGGCCAAATAATTAGAATGGTGTTGTGGGCTACGAAATAAAAACAAATTACCTCCAGATCATGAGAGCCTCATGTGCAACAACTCAGCCTTTTTGTGGGTTCTTGGTCCTGTAGGAGTTCAAGACCAAGTAAAATCTGAGGGTCTTGAAAGCCCAAGTTCCCATGTTGGAACCAACGGTCAGTGAGCTTCGGTTGAAGGGAAGCCAACATCAGAACCACCTTTTGAGTGAGCCGAAACCGCCCGCCCGCGAACCGCGAAGCGGCTCCGCCTGTCGCCCTCCTTCCCGTCCGGGTCCTTCGATGGCTGCGACCCTCGAGTCACGGGTCTCCATGACCCTCGCACCAGGTTGCAACCCCGGGAGTTGGAAAGCCCGTGGCTTCCTGATCTCTTAGGTCCATGAAGACACCTCGGATCAAGTTTAGGGCAAGATTCAACACCTCGGATCTAAACTCGACAAGCACCATCTTAGAGGGCAAAGATGTAAACTTTGGTGCCCCAAGTGGGGGCAAAGGACGGTGCTGCGCAGGTTTGAAGCCCAACTTAAGCCCTTGGAGCCTTGAGCTAGGCTGCACAACGCACTGTGCCTGTGCTGGGCTGTGACCGGCCGTCGGTCAGCAACACCTCACTGCCGTGTGATGGTTGTCCAAGTTCCCTAAAGGCTCCGTTGGCCCATAACCCCAGTACGAAGGTGTTTTGACCAACAAATGCTGAGGGCTAGGGTGTGTCTCAGGAGGGCTAGGGTGTGTCTCCTTAAATAGCGGGAAGCCCGGTGACATCCTCGAAATAACCCTCCGAATGGTGGTTGAACTTCCCAAGATAATGGTTGAGAACCTCCCCCTCAACAACACAGACGACATGTACGTAGCATATACCCCCCAAAGTGCACCCGCTTAAAGAAAACACCCGCCTCTCCAAGAGGAATGCACGCTGTGCGACTGGGCCAGGACACACAATGCGGCCCATGACTCATAGTTGGCATGTCATAGCCAAATGAATATTGCATCCCGAGCAATCTATCCTGACTCAATTCACCCTTGGGGAGTACACAAGTTGGATTGGGCGCGAGACAAGACGCCAAGGCTGCGCCTCACAATACGAAACCTGCAGAGGTGGGGGCCTGTGGCCCGGCTCTTTGGCCATGCGCGCGGCCCAGTCCTTCGGATCGTCGGAGTCCTCCTCCTCACTGTCCGAATCCTGCGGCCGCTGGCGCTTTGGGCTCGCAAACACCTCACCTGCACTAGGATCCGAATTGGTCCAAGTCCAGACTTTTGGCTCACTGACATGTTCCAAGCAGAAAGTCCAGTGACTTGGGAAGAGAGTGAATTTAGGAACCTAGGGGGTTCGTCCTGAGTCCGCCTCCCAGAAAAACAAAACGATCACATCTCGCTGTGCTCGCCAAGTCAGAAGCAAGACCTATTAAAAGAGTTCTACCCAAACCAATGAGAGATTATTAGGGCGAAGCCTCTAAAACAAACACCCACACACACAGCTTTTGATGTCTCGGGCAGAGGCTCCCAGTCCTTGCCCTTGAGCGCTCCCTTCTTTTTCTTCTTCCGCTTCCGCTTCTCGTGCTCAAAGTGGCAGAACCTCAAAGCCGGCCGAGTTCAAGACTGACTCGCCTAAGGCGGGGTGGTTCTCTGCGGATTCCCTGTAAACCAAAAAATAAAACAAATGGGCCCAGAAAGGCGGGGTGGTTTTTAGTGGATGCCCTTTAAACCTCCAAATGTATGGCTTTTCCTTTGGCCGCCCTTCAAAACCACCGCAAAAAAGGGTGCCCTCTCAACAAGACACTGATTCGAACGAAAGAAAGCTGCGGAAAGCAGGCTGGGTATTGACGAAGCAAAACAAACACGAGGCAGGGTTGGCCTGCCTCTCAAACTCCAACTCCTGTGCTTGGGTCGGGTGTCTCGCTATTCAGGAAGCACGTCGGAACCTATGTACACCCACTCTTTACTCACTTCCCGGGGAATGTAGACCCTTCCTCCCACTATCACTAACATAGCACTTGTAGGAGGGATTTGGAAGATCAGAGCGGGTGTCAGGTGCCATGTACTTGGGAGGGTCGGTTCCATGTAATGGGAACCCGGATGAAACACCCTCCCATGGATTCCCATGGTTGATTCATGAAGGGTGTCCTGGTCAACATTGGATCCTTCACTTTTGGGGAAAGCTATAAAACCCCCTGCCCCCCCCCCCCGCACCTGTTTTCGCAGGCAAAATCCAAACATCCTCTTGGGTCGCGACCAAAAACAAGGCCGCCGGAAATTGTCGACGTCAGCTGGGCTGGCGGCTCACAGTCCCGCCCGTTGTTGCACCGTCCTGCGGCCAGAGGCGAAAAATGACGGAAAGCCACTCAGGCCAAAGGTGAACATGGTCTGGCTGGCAATGTGTCGGGGTATCTTTGAAAGAAATTGGACAATTGAAGCCCATGTTAGGGGGGGCCATGGATGGTTGAACAGCGCCCTTTCTGTGATACAAGGAACAGGATGGAATACCATGACTGCTTTATCACTGAGGGGATTCCCTTGGTAACACAGAAAGTAGCCTTAAGTTGGCCGAATCCCAGGGTACGCCGCGTGCGCCAAAACATGATTCCGATTCTGCATCATGCTGAGTCTACCCTAAAATATAGCACAACTTCGGAGAAGATCCTACTGAACCACCCTTAAAAATTCGCCAAACACCCACACGCGCACACACACACACACCCTAAACTGAGGGTATTGTTTTGACCGTCTCTGGGAATTCTTAAAGTCGGAAACTGGGGTGGCCTTTTACCTACCTCTTTGGGGGGGGAGGTGACTTTGATAATTGGAAAATCATGATGTCAAACCCCGATGACTGGTTCCATTGTTGGGGGGACGGGGGGGGTAACATTCAAGACCCTTTGCCCCACGTCCCGGCCTTTTGGAAAGAAGCAGCAGCGCTTGCACAGGCCTTCGTGATGCTGTGCAGATCCTACCTGAGCGGATGGAATCGAAGGCGCGTGCCATGGAAATCGTATGGAAGACCCCTGCAGTGAATGTTCGCATGAAAAGCAACCAAAAAAGCCAAAAGCTTCCCATGATTCCCCTGTTTGTGGTTTTAAATATCAATGATTGGGCCCCCAAGCTGAGTTTCCTTTTGCGGGGGTGATGTTTATAGGGAATCTTGAATGAAGCGCCTGAAGTCTCCATGAACCTGCCAAAGTGGAGCCATGACCCCGCGAAGGGTCATGGAGACTCAAGGCACAGTTCTGCCTCGGAAGGGCCCCTTTTCCGCGGACTTCTCCCGCAATTGAGTCACGGATTCCATGTTATCGCGGGCACCACGGGAAAACGATAGCCATGAAGATGGGAATCCCGTAGCAGAATCTCAAGGAATGGAACATTTGTTCTTGCATCCAGGTTCATGCAAAAACCTACCATGCATCTTTATAGACTGGGTGTGCGGTTTGAACACCTTCTGTTGGGCTGGCCTTTGTGCTCCTCAAACAACAACATCCGTATCTCATCTGGAAGTTTTTTGCTTTTAGCATACAGCCAAATGACTTGGACAAACCTACGGCCCTCTTCCTAGAGAAACCTGACCCAACGTCTCTCTCATTCCGAGCCCGGGGCTGACGGCAGATCTGCCGGCAACGGCCTGAAACGCGCCACGCACCCGCGGGTCTCATGGGCGGGGGGGCGGGGGCGATGGCCTCAGGCACTTGCTCCCACCCACCCAACCCACCCACCACCCACCCACCCACTTACTAACCCACCCACCCACCCACCCAACCAACCCACCCACCCACCCACCCAACCAAACCAACCCACCCAACCCGCCCACCCACCCACCAAACCAACCAACCCAACCCAACCCAACCCCACCCCACCCCACCCAACCCAACCCAACCCCACCCCCCCACCCACCCACCCACCCAACCAACCAACCCACCCACCCACCCAACCCACTCACCCACCCACCCACCCACCTACTCACCCAACCCAACCCAACCCAACCCAACCCAACCCAACCCAACCCAACCCAACTCAACCCAACCCAACCCAACCCAACCCAACCCAACCCAACCCAGCCCAACCCAACCCAACCCAACCCAACCCAACCCAACCCAACCCGCCCGCTCACCCACACCCACCCACCCAACCAACCAACTCAACCCACCCAACCCACCCACCCACCCAACCCAACCCAACCCAACCCAACCCAACTCCACCCAACCCAACCCAACCCAACGCAACCCAACCCAACCCAACCCAGCCCAACCCACCACTCACCAACCCAACCCAACCCAACCCAACCCAACCCAACCAACCCAACCCAACCCAACCCAACCCAACCCAACCCAACCCAACCCAACCCACCCACCCAACCAACCCAACCCACCCAACCCACCCAACCAGCCCACCCACTCACCAACCCAACCCAACCCAACCCAACCCAACCCAACCCAACCCAACCAAACCCAAACCAACCCAACCCAACCCAACCCCACCCACCCACCCAGCCCACCCAACCAACCAACCAGCCAACCCACCCAACCCACCGAACCCACTCACCAACCCAACCCAACCCAACCCAACCCAACCCAACCCAACCCAACCCAACCCAACCCAACCCAACCCAACCCAACCCAACCCAACCCAACCCAACCTCCAACCCAACCCAACCTAACCCAACCCAACCTAACCAACCCAACCCAACCCAACCCAACCCAACCAACCCACCCACCCACCCAACCAACCCAACCCAACCCAACCCAACCCAACCCAACCCAACCCAACCCAACCCACCCACCCAACCCACCCAACCCACCCAACCCAACCTAACCCAACCAACCCACCCAACCCACCCACTCACCAACCCAACCCAACCCAACACAACCCAACCCAACCCAACCCAACCCAACCCCCAACCCAACCCAACCCAACCCAACCCAACCCAACCCAACCCAACCCAACCCAACCCAACCCAACCCAACCCAACCTAACCCACCTACCCACCCAACCCACCCAACCCACCCAACCCACAACCCACCCACCACCCTCAACCCAACCCAACCCAACCCAACCCAACCCAACCCAACCCAACCCAACGCAACGCA